GTGGCAGATGTACTAGGCAGAAGCCACACAGTCAACGTGCCATTCCTTGGAATATGTAAGGGACCTGTTTCTTCCCTCAAAGGAAAAGCAGTAGAGTCCAAAAGAGCAAAAGCATCTATCATGACCACTACCACCTTCATGGCTTGGGTCACCATTACTCACCAGAAAAGCAGCAATGATTCATCCCCTTTTTCTGTCACATAAAACCTGCCGGTTGCTTTGTGTATCCTAAAACTGTCTCTAGCTTCCATAAACATTGTTTGAAGTTGACATTCAGAAACACCTTGCAAACACAGCTATCAGAAACATCAAGTGCAAAAAAGCAAAGAACATTGTGCCTTGGCAGAAGGGTTTCTGAGGGATACACACTGCTCCTCCAGAAGCAGGTTCACCCTGCTGAGATCCCACAGACTCAGGGAGAAGCTGGGTTGAGCTACAGCACAGCTCTACCCAACACTCTTCTGAGAAACGTCCAGCTCTTGCTGAAGGGTGCAAATGGCATTTAGTCAAGTGGGAGACAGCTAATTGTGACATCTGGATTTCCTGCATTTGGTTCCCCGCAAACAGGTACTGTACTGACTTTGTCAGGGTATCTGACAGCACTAACGTCTGATCAAAGGAGGTAGCACAGAGTATGAGCTGAAACTAGGAAAATACACATATTTGAAGGGGAGAGAGACTGGCTTTATAGACATATGAATATACACATAAAAACATGTCTAACCCCAGGTTTTCTGTCATGCTGCAGACTGTGACACGGCTGGGTTTAGATCTGTACCACTTGTATTCAGTCACATGAAACACATGCATACATAGGCCTCCCAGTCAAGGGAGGGGGGCGTTTCCAGGACAAAAGAGAAGACCCGAGGCACTCCGGAAGGTCAGCTCGGGCAGTCAGCAGCCCACAGCAGAGCCAACTGGGGGAGATAAAGCCAGGTTGATTAGTGATGCCATGGTCGCCCTTTCTGGTTCCACACAGATAGCTATCAAGTGGCAAAACACACGCTCCCTATCCCATTCCTCTCTTGTTTATCTGCACAAGGCAACACAAAACCACATGCAGGGTTTCACTGTCAGTGTAAGCCATATTATTCTTGTAATTAAATCCAGGTCCTCAGCCTATCTGAGAGTTCCTCCTCTTCCCTTCCCTCTTTTCCCCCTCTTTTCTCCCCTCACCATTTGCCTCTCTCCAACCTTGTTTGGGTTTACATGCTGTGTCATTAAATTCCAGAATAGTAAATGCTGCAGCAGCCTCTCTAAGCACTGACACACTGCTTTCTAGGCTGAAAATTAGATATGGGGTTAATTTCACTCCTGTAAGAACACTGTCTTTTATTTTTCTTTATGTCCAACTCAAAGGATGCTTTTGTCAGATGTGTAGTGGAAAAAGATCATGTTTGCTCTCTGCTTCCTCCCTGCACTCTCCCCATCTCCACTCCCACCCATCAGCCGTAAAACAACATGGCCCAGCCAGATCCCAAACTGAAAGCAAGACAAAGCACCCACACAGCTCCCACTTCCATTCAGCAGAAGTGGGCCACTCTGGGGTAGCCCAGGATCTACAAGTAGGCCAGGCAGAAATAAACAGTAAACAAAGAGTATCCTGTCCAAGCAGAGAGAGGCTAAAGAGACTGATGTCTTTCATTAAAATGCAAGGCAGGGATACAAGCACACAGCCACTCAAAAGCATCACTGGAGCTTGCTTGGAGTAATAGGAGGAAAGCAGCACATGATCACGCCATTATAAAGACCCAAAGCACATCACCCAACTGTACACAGGGCACAGCTGCACGTCCCGCCTACCAAGTACCAAAACAAGGCAGCCAACCACACACCTACCACCGCCCCAAAACACCAGAGACACCAGCCCCAAGGCTGCAGTAGCACAGCACTGATCCCCGGAAGGCCGAGTAGGGCACAGTGCACAGAGGTACAGTACCCGGCAACCACAGCCATGCAAACGTCAGAGCCAATCATTTAAAAACAGAGTAGCTTCCTTTTCAGAAAAGAGATGGGAAAGGGGGAGAAAAGCACAGCACAGCCATAGCAACAGGTCAAGTGTTTGCCGGAGTTCTTCGAGAGAAAGGGTAATGCAGCGCATGTGCCTTCTGTTTTCAGAGCATTTGTCACGTAATAAAATCATTAGCCCAGGAATTAACAGGGGAGTTTTGTTTAGTTCTTCTGCAAGCTGTTGTTCCAAAGCCCATGAAAATCCGTGTGTGAAAGTCCACGCCGTGTGTACCCTTCGGTCTCCCGTTAGGTGGCTATCACAAACAAACCTCATTTTTTCCACCAACTAGTAGGAAAAACGCAGTACATAGAGAGGTGGGGGAAACAGTCAGGAGCTTCTAGCAAAGCAGCAGTCTGTCTGCAGCAAGTCTGCTTGGTTACTGGGAAAATTGAACTTGCTGCTTTTTTTAAACAGCCTAATCATATTTACTATTACATCAGACTTACCCACCACAAGTTGTTCTTATGCAATGGAAGAATTTTTAATCTAATTTCTTGGACTCATATAATTTCCCAGCTGCAGAACTGCAATAATTTCCTATCTTCTCATTTTTGAGATAAGCTGATTAACTTGGATATGTTTTAGTTTCAGGGTGTGATTATGTCCCTTTATTGTACTTGAGAGAAAAGGGGCAACTTATAGTAAAATAAGTTTATTTTCCCCAATTCAGCTTCTCTGTGATGCAGCTAGGTCTTTCCTGCTGTGTTTCCCTTAGACCCTTAACTTTCCATACTTCCTCTCAGACACTATATTACAGTAACTCTTAATTTACTCAAAGAAAATACTCTGTTCCAGAAATGTCTGAAATAACTTTCAAAAAAAAAAAAAAAAATCTCATGGAGAAAACATTTTCTTGTTTTAAATATATTTGAAAGTTTATTAAAAACCCCACAAACCCAGCACTACTGGCCAAACCCTGCTTGCATTGTTCATTTGTTTTCAGGCACATGTACAGAATAATAATAATAATAATAACAAAACAAGGATGCTAATGCCTGATGCTCTGTTCACATGTACAGCAGAGCAAAACTGGGACTTCTGATTTACATCCAAGTAAAGGAGAAGACAAGCAAATCCTTGAATTTATGCCATTACAAATTGAAAAATACTGCTTACTCCCACAATTTTGTTGAGAGCTTTTGATATTTAACATCTTCAGTTCCCAGGTCCTACATTTACTTGATTGGGTCAAAGGGACTCCCTCTCTTCCTCTATTTTTTCCTTAAGTTTCTAGCAATCATTATCTGCCCCACACAGGTGAGCCCTTAAAACCATCCCCAGTAAGGTGATGGGCAGCCTCCAGTTCTCCCCTGCTGGGGAAAGGAAAGTGGAAGCTGTCCTCTACTGACTGCAGTGAGAGCACTTGTGTCCCTGAAAACGCTCTGGTGGAGAGCGGCTTGCAGTATAAAAGCAGCCCTCCTATTACCAGCGCGTTGCTATGGGCACTATTTCGAAGAAAGCAGCCACAGGAGCAGATCCAGAAAACATGGCAGAATATATGAGGGAAGAAAGAAAAATTGAGAAGACCCTGGACTTATCCCTGCCTGTTCCTACCAGCAGCGATAGGACTGTAGAGAAGACGGATGGTGAAATTTTGTAGTGTTGAACACAGAGCCTGGTGGAGCTTGTGATTTTGCATCACTCAACTCTATTTAAAAACCCTGCCTGGAATTATTATTCTTGGTACTCCAAGATACGGTTTCATGGCTACTTTCTCCCCTTCCCCTAAAAGTTAGTAAAATAAAGTTTCTTCATTAGCCCACTGTAAGTGAATTTAATGAATGTAATCCTGGTAATTAAGTTTGCCTAACATCACAGATAGCAGTTCACAAAGACTTTCCACTTGTACACTGGTACAGGGTAAGCCTATGTACAACATATCAAAATAACTTACTCTCCAGGCACCTTTTCCTACAGAAAGTGTTAGCAGGTGCCTAATGATAACTGGACTTTTGTCACCAGTTACAGAACAAGTAGCTTCATGTTATCCAGGTGAATTTAAATCAGAAGAGTGAGGATGAACTGGTCTGTATTCCACACCACCAGCATCCCCTGTATGTTAAAGTCACCCTGTCAATTCCAGTTCAAATTAAACAAAAGCAGATCAAGTCTACCTTTTATACTATTTTCTAAATGAAATCAGATGTACATGTAAAACTGGTATTTAAATGGAATTCACCTAATAACAAGACAGATATTGACAGAACAATCACCACAAAGACCAAGGTAAGAGGCACTATATTCTCATTAATAATTCAAATCTCAGCATGGATATTGATGACCATGCACTTGGAAGAGGAAATCAGGCAGCATCTGGAGTTAGCCCAGTTTTCCTGAAAAGCTGATGAACTGCAAGAGATGCACTAGAGAAATTTTACTGTGGTATCCAACCAGAGAAATAGCAGCTCTTCACTATTAAGATATCTTGGACCCTCAGAAGCATTATTGAAATCAAGCAAGGAACAAAAAGGAACAGTGTTAGCAGATTAATGGGATGAGGATAGCAACACTGGGGGCACAGAGTGGTTCAGTGGTACCCGATTCCAGTTACTGCTTAGGAGCAAGCAATATTACAAGCTTTAAAATAAACGTGGAAATAATAATCAGGAAAAGCACAAACAAACAGAAAGGTCGTAGGAGCCAAAACCACTCAGAACAAACCAGTTGGGGCTAGTTAACGTAATCTGCTCTATTCCCATGACTAAGTTTGTTTCACTGAGGGCATGAACTTTCTTGGAAAAGCTAAAGTAATTAACTGCAGGAGCTTACACATTTTCTTTCCCTCAAGTTTATTTTACCCTGAAATTAGAGCTGCTTGCACACAACTGCTTCTACCAGTTCACTCAAAATTCAGAGTTTTGCTTGTTTTCTCCAAAAGGAGATGCTTGAAAGATACCACCGTTGAAGTGTAGGATTCATTGCAGTTTCTCCTTCCTCCTATCCACTCTTCCCATCACTTTGGATAGACACAAAGAAAACCGTATCTTACCTCACGGAAAAAGAGCAGGTTTCCAACAAAAGGAAGAGGTGGAGGATGTCGGATCCCTACTTTGCTTAGTTTGGAGAATGCAGAGGTGGAGTACCTGGAAAAAAATGAGGTAATAAGTTAATTTTGGATCTTGTCATGATAGGGCATATCACAGTATTTGGTTCAGATGACTTCCCTGGATTCAGAGAATGAGAAGATGCTTTCTGTGTTGGCCAAACAGAATTGTCAATGTGGTGACATTGCTCAGCAGCTCCTTAGGTCACAGAAATAAATGCAATACACTGCTGCTTCAGAGAGGGCAAAACAACAAAGGAATTCAAACACAGGCCTGCAGATTGAGCAGTGGAAATAGAGAGCTGGTTCTCTTCCCACAGAAGGTCTTGTAAGTCAGAAGTGACTCTCTAAAGCTACGTGAGGTTACAAATGAGATCAAAATAGGCATTTGGGTTTTGACTACTGTGACACAGCTGGGAAGGGAACAAGATAGATCTTCAGACTTATTTTCTTCTTCTTCCATCACCGCTACCTATACAGATCAAAGAGCAAGAATTCAAACTAGTCTCAGTTGTGCATGAGCCAAGACACTGTCAGTATGTTCAAGTCAAGCCTAGTATTTGGGCCAGATATGCTGATTAAGTGATTTTCCAGCTGCCAGTCAGCAAATTAAACAAAGATAAAAAAATATAGGGAAACAAAACCCAGACTGAAAAAGCTTCATGCATCCCTTGTTTCAGATGAAACTGTGGCATGTTGACAGGGACAATACTGGGAAAAAAAGGAAAAGAAAAACCCAACCCCAAAGTCTTTTTTTCCTCCCCTCTCCCTTTCTTAATACAAACAATGGATTTAAGTTAGTGGACTTCAATTAGTGAAACCTAAAAGAGCAAGAGCTAGCAGCAGCAGTTTTGATTAGCCAAAGACACAATAATTTTGAATATTATCATGCTGAACACTATTACCAGGAGGACCATGGCAAAAGATCTTTATTAAAGGCTGTGTCTATATTAACACCTTAGCTCAGAGCAATAGTATAGTTTTAAAGCTCTCCCCTTGCATGATGGTTCCATGTCTGGGGCAGTTTTAGCACATTCAACTACAGTTTGAGAGGAAATTCAACTTGAAGCTCGGCTCTGATCCTTCATCTCTCACCACATGCAGTGAAACTCTTTAGTCCTGGGGAGCAAATTAAATCTAGCCCAAAATAACAACGGTGAACTCCATATAGTGTAGTGGTTGTGATATCAACTGTTTTAGTCTATCAAGTCCCCAAGTCATCTGAATGATGCAACAGAGAGACAACAGAAGCAATGCCCTCAGATCCTGACAATGCTACCCCATTGCTATGACTTGGACCTCTCCTTCAGGTCTAATAATCAGCTCATGCCTCATTTGAAACACCCTACATGATATGGGTAGGAATATTCTGTTTTAACCTAATGAGCAAACAGCACACAATTCTTGGGGATCAGGAAGAAGGAAGGAGAAAAAAAAGAGGGAGAAAGGACCCAGAAGTAGGGAAATAAAAGAATGATGTTGTGAATTGAAATATATAAAATTAAGATAATTAAATATCACATGATCAGCAAAGCAGAATAGGATTTAAGTATCAAGTCAGCAGCTTTTTGTATTTCCATTTCCTGAGATTTCCTGTAGCACAGTACCTATCTGCTTAATGGGTTTTCTTTTATGAAGATATTTTACAAAAATCATAATCAGAAGATAGAGCTGATCATTTTTAAACAGCAGCTTTTTCTTTTTTTTTTTTTTTTTTTAATGGGGCAGTACATTCCTTCACAAACACAAACTCTCTCAATTGAAATGATGTGTCTTCAGTCGATGCATGGGCATTATTTCAGTATGACAGGGTATTGTGGAATAAAGGCACAGTTGTTGACATTTATTACACATTTTATACATATTGACTTCTTGGTTACTTAGCCACTTTTAAAAAAAAATAAGAGTTTTTCTTTATTGAAACAGCTAATACTCTTGGGATAAAAAGAACGTTTTAACTTCAAAATGACAAACAGCCTACATGATACATTTTTTCCCCAAAGAGAGGATTTTTTTTGCTGCTGTTTGAAACCTTCCTAAAGTCTCCTTTTGTCACAGAAAAGTCCTCATCTTCTGTATGTAAACAGAGGAAAAGATTAACATCTCTCTCCATGGAAATCCATCAATTTTGCAGCATTATAACCTGGATGTTTTCACTGTAAAATACATGGCAGATGACAAAATACCAGGCTGGGCTACAGTTAACTGCTAATTTCACTGTAGAGTGGACACTATAGATTCCTCAACTCCACGTAGTGCAAAGTGAAACGTGACTGTAACAGAGCCTTACCCTACACAAAGCAAACAATGCAATGACCAAATATTTTAAAAGCAGAACGGATGAGTGCAGTGCACCCAGTTTCACAAGGCAAGAAACATCCAGGTGCTGAAGACTATTTTACACTTAGATAAGCGGTTCATCTTCATCAGCTTCTGACCATATCTTGCAGCTCCATGCAGCTGCAAGAGGGTTTGCTTCCCTTTTTCGCCTCCTAATGTGGTTTTCTCTGATGCTTTTTCTTCAGTTACATTTGAAGTAGGTTTTCAAAAGGTAAGGAAACATGGTTTATAATGAGATGGGAAACAGAAGTACTGTGGTCAAGCTACACACTGAAATATAACAATGAAAGGGTAGGGCCAAAAGGAAAAAAAATATCATCAATATCAAATAAATATAAAAAAATTATCAAAAAATATCATCAGTAAACACATCTAGCTCTACCCTAAAATTTCACAATATTTCTGGTATTGTTGAAATATTTGCAGTTTTGCAGAAAACAAAACAGTATGCAAATGCTTGAAGACTGATGGTGCTGCATGCGCAAAAGGAAGATCTAACATCGGACAGGTAACCTTGACTTTGGCCATTTCTGATTGCAACAGCTTATGTTCTACAACATTAAATGTTATTTTAAGAGCCTTTTCCCCAACCCCTTCAATATTTCAGCTCATTTCCACCATTTTGGGTAGGGGAGAGAGAGGAAGAGGTGACTTGTGGGCTTCTTTTAAAAAAAATAAAAAAAAATAAAAATTGTCCTGTGTCATGCACAATGAACATCAGCAACACATGAATCTTCACAGCACAAACCTGTCCTTTTCAGCCAGAAGCAACCAATAACTTGAACTGTCGGCTACTCAGCACACCCATGACACTCACTTGGCCAGTGACTCACAGATCTGTGTGTTAAGCACAGGGGGTTTTATTGCTGGGAAAGGGAGGTGGCCTAGAAGCTGGAAGAGTGCCAACAGGCAGGTTTGCCTTGCAGGCAGTCAAGACATTCATCTGGAGAAGCTGTACATCTAAATTAAACAGTTCTGAGCCTGCCTTATCACCAGTGGGAAGTATTATTTCTCACTCTGCCACTTAACGCACTTCTATGTTAATTTATCACAAAAATTAATCTGACATCAGGCAAACTCCTGCTGTTGCTGTGGGTACACACTAAGGGTAGAAGACCAGACAATGGACTAGAAGAGTTAAGTCAAATGCAAAATCTAGAAATAGAAAAGATACTGAGATGTGACCAAGATGACCAAAGATACAGAAAGACTTCTGTAGAAGGAATAAACAAACAGGATATAAACTTAATCCTGGGAAAAGAAGCAACTGACGCAGAATATGACGACTATATTTAAGATCTTACATGGCTTAGAAAACAAATAAAGAATTATTACCCTCTATTTAAAAAAAAAAATAATAAAATCCACAAATGAATACTCAGGCGGCAGGATTAAAAATTAAAAACTTTTCCAAGTAATCAATATACTAACTATGGAACTCCTTGCCATGGGATGTTGTCTATTCCACAAGCTTAAAAAGCTTCAAAAAAAATGATTAGATAAATTAATGAAAGGAAAAAAAAAAAAAAATCAGTAGGCAATTTTAAGGTTTGAATTTAAGAAATATAAGAGACACATGGAAAAGATTGAAGGGAAGAAGGGAAAATTAATCAAATTTATTTTCCTAAGCAGGAAACTAGTCTATAAGCTTCCAATGGCAGAATAAGAGATTAGACTGTTATAAAACCTAAAAGACAAAACCCCAGACACTTGTTTTCTTAAGAGAGGAAGGAGCCTTTGTGCAAAGGGAGGGGCATGGAAAAGGATAAAGCTGTGATGGCTGCAATATTTACTGGACAATCTAGCACATTCTCACTCAAAGGAGAAACATACCCTAATATTTACACATGTAGCACTTCCTGCTCAACTATTAATTTTAAACCCTGGCATTATATTTTGAACAAAGTGACAAGACATCAAAAGGAACCAGAGGAACAGCAGTAATGAAGCAGATCAATAAACAATTCAATAACTCTTTGAAGACGTTCAAATGGCCTCTCAGAGCTAGATGCTCTCTGTATATATTAAACATGACTGTTAAAAGAAAAATAACATGCCAAATACATTCCTGTAGGCCAGCAAGGCACATTTAAGCTTTCCGAAATATTAACTTCTCTCCACAAAACACCATGCAAAAAATAAGGAGAAAGAGTTAAAATCAACAGATAATTAACATAAGTTGTGATGGATATATAATCAACAGAACTAGCCATCTGCCCATCCAGGTCAGTATTGCAAGAAAAAGTATTGCACAATCTACCATTAAGTGTAATCAATTTGTGTAGCAGATAATATTACAGAGTTGCCAATTCTACATCATAGAGTTCAACATATCATTGAATTTACCCCAGACTTCTCTCAATAGAGAGAGCGCATCATTCCTTCTACATCAAGATGCACAACTTAATAATATCTGAAAGTTATAAACTAGGACACAGAGATAAAGTGATGTTATTTAATCTCACTGTTGGGAGGTGCGTTACTTTGGAAGACTGAGTAGGAAAACAAAGTATTTTGCTGAGATAATGGAAATAATTTCTGCCAAACAAGAGATAACCATCATGCATTTTCACCTATTTGCCTCTATTTACATATATCCACAGCAGATCCCAGTTACCACTGGGATAGATTTTGCTCACAAAGTAGTGATAACATACAAAACAATGGTGGCCTCCCCAGTGTTACAATGATGGCTTATAT